GAAATGTCGACACAAAACTTTGGGTAGCTACTGCCATCTATGAACGACGGCGGTAACCAGACAACCGGTTTACCGGCCTCACTCATAGATGGCGGCAACCTTTCCAGCCTCTCCACTCTGGTTTTCACCAGAGTAGAAAGGCTGAATTTCTCTAGGCGTCGTCCTACATTTCGTCCTTGAAGTCGTCCTTGAGGCAGTCCTTGATGTTGTCTGAGAGGTTTTCCTCAGGGTCATCTTAGATGTCATCCTTGAGGTCGTCCTAGAGGTCGTCCTTGAGGTCATCCTAGACGTTGTCCTCGAGGTCGTCCTTCAGGTCTTCCCAAACGTCGTCCCTGATTTCGTCCTTGAAATCGTCGTAGACGTCGTCCTTGAGGTCGTCCTAGATGTCATCCTAGACGTTGTCCTCTAAACGTCGTCCTTGAGGTCATTCCACCATAGTACAGCTTCGCTGGTCTTCCTTCTTCACCAAAGTGGAAAGGCTGAAAGTTTTTTTGCCCTAGAACTTGGCTAGTCTCTGTATCGTTGTTTTGCTAGTGTAAGCTGCTTTAAGAGTACACAATAAATATGGCAAACAAAAAAAATTGTAGAGCTTCACTTCACGTGAAGATAGAGGACCAGGGAAGCTGTTATCTTTATGACAGCTTTACGACAACTATTTGACATCTATACGATCTACATATGATTGCAATGAAGACGCGTACATGACTTCATTGTTTAATTGTCTTTATTTAATTCTTAGCGACTAAAGTGATCATTGCCTTATGGTCACTATGGCAAACCGCCATTGGTTGTATTTTGACTTCGGATACGTTCTTGCTAAACGTGAGGTCAATACAGGTTCTGTTGTTGGTCGTTGACTATTTTAGGTTTTACAGCGACTTTGGGCTCTTTATCAGCGATGCTGATAAAGAGCCCACCGAAGCGAAAGAAAAGGAGGTCACAGCACACTCTTAGCTGAGATAAGTGCTGGCTGTATATGATAACAAAAGATCGGGACCAGGGTTGTTAAAGTTACTTAAAAAATGTACCTAAGATACAGTTACAGTTACTAATACGAAAAGGTACTTAGGTACGCACCTAGGTACTTGCTTAAAGATGTATCTAGGTACAGGTACAGTTACTTTAAAGATACTGTCTTTATGTATTTTCCCCAAATTTGTCAAAATATATTGGGAGTAAAGCTTTTTATACTAAGGATACACTTAAAAACGAGTTCGATAAATGTGCTTTATTGGTGTCAGTGCGATGTCCACATCGGTGTTAAGTCCTCACGTGCCTTGTCCCCACGCTCCAATTGGTGCACCGAGGCCTTAGCTTCCACTGTTTACCATGTCACACCGAAACCGCCGAAACTCGCTTGTTGACGTTCTTGCCCTCAGAGCCGATGCTGACGCCGACGGGCCCGAAAGACGTCGGCCGGATGAAGAAACGCATGAGTCGAGTGCATATGCACCTAACCTTCGCGATGACGAGCAAAAGGCTTTAAACTTCCTCGTTTTATTTTTTCTTTCGTTAGTGAGAAGAAAAATGAATTTTTTTTTTCTTTCGGAACTTTGTCAGTTTTGATAACTGCAAAACTTGAGTCCGACTTATTGAGTGGAAACTTTATTATATACGCAATGTTACATCGCTTTACGATTGTAATTATAATTTATCTGCAATTATATTTTATATTGTATTTATGGCAGAACAGTGCCACCACCAGGACAAGATATGGGCAACAGAAACTGCGCACATCGTTCAAGTTATCTCTTTCCTTGTATAGCTGCCAGAGGAACTTCAAACACGCAATGAAGTCGATTTCGGTTTGAGATGAAGCAAGCAGGTCGCTATATTCCCTAAACGGAGTTCCGAAGCGATGAAATAAATTGGTGTTGCTCGAATGGCATCGCTAATACACCGTTCGCTCAAATGAACTCCTACATTCTCTAAAGTGTGTCGTTCGATGAAACATCATAGGCGGGGCTTCGTTCGCTAAAACGTCGTTTGATCAAGGCAGTGCCTCCAATGCCGTTCACAACTCAACGTGAATCACGGCACATGGCAGTGTGTTAATACTTCAAGATTTATAGTTTCTACCATTTTGACCAAGTGAATAGAAAAGTACTTGTAGAAACTAGCTTCACTTAGTTACAAGTTACTGGAAAATGTACCTAAGATACAAATACAGGTACCAAGAAATTAAAGTACCTAGGTCTGTACCTCAGGTACAACAAAGGTACTTAGATACCGATTTCCAGTTACTTGTACCTAGGTACTTTACTACCCTGATCAAGACCTTGCTTTCTAATAATGCCAAGGAAGGCTGACACCCGCGGGTTGCCCTCCTCTTTTTATTTATACTTGCCACGACTAATCGGCACAAAGGAGCGCTGTTTAAACGGGAGTTTTATTGTTAACATCCATGGACGCATTTTTCTCCAGAGCCTAGCACATAACAGCTTTGCTATAAAAACATGTTTATTTGCACCTTAAAGACATGGTTTACATCAGCCAATCACTCGAGCTGCTAAAAAACAATTTTTTTCTCGTGTGGAAAATCTTGAGGCACACAGACGTGCGGAGAGCTGCGCCGCATTTCTCAACCTCCCACCGGCTCTCGCTTTTCTTCCCTCGTGCCTTGTACACTTGGCACTGCCTTAAACCAGTAGATACCCCGTCTCTCTCAAACAGTTCATCGGTAGATTCCCCATCACCTTCACTGTTGAAGAGAATGTTGATTTTCATTGTCCGAAAGACTATGCCTGCTGCTAGCCACCGTAATCTTTTCAGAGAGTGAACATGAATTGAAAACACTAAAATTATACTACAGTGTAGACCGCATATAACGTATGTCGCGGGAGTCGCGAAAATCCGCACTATAAGCGGTACCGCACTATAACCAAAACATCAATTTTTCAGGCCAAAATACATGCCATGAGACAACTTACACTTGTGAAAAGAATTTATTTTATGTTAGATGAAAAATAAAGCTTAGTTTGAGGAAAGTCTTTATTTCACCTGACTAGTACAGTTCTGTCTCAAGTGTGTTACACATTTTGAAAGAAATGAGCAGCTTTTGCCTGGCGCAGCCTTTTAACGGCGTCGCGGGTTGCGGACGGACGTTGAGAGCGTTCAGGATTGCTAACCCTAATCACTTTTCTCCGGAGATGAAAACGCGTGAAAATTCGCTTCCTTCACACGGTACGCGCCAGTAATACCTTGAACTTGAGCGCACGCATGAAATGCGCCAAATAAGAAATCCGGGCGATGTTCGAGGACACAAATGCTTAGAAATCACCACTGTAGTCGAAGTAAACAAACACGACGACACAGGCGTTTCTGCCGTCTTGAGAGCGCCGCCACGACATCGCCGCACGAGTAGGTGGATCTTCCCTTCTAGCACGTGCTGGGTTATCATAGCAACACACAACGAAAATTCACAGTCAAGGATAGCGCTTTTACGCGGAACGATGAGATGAACGCCGTCTACGACGACGATCACAACCGACGCCGTGTTTGCGGATAGAAGCAGTCGGCCGGCGACCGGCATGTAACGCGCGCAACACTTCTCCTCGACCTGCGATTGGTCTGTCGCTGCGGTTGTTTGTTTCCAACGCAGCGGAGGGACGCACGCACGTGAACGACACGTGCGTGCGTCCCTCCGTCGCTATGGCAACTGAAGCCTTTCGCTTCTTCGAGCAACTCGGCTGTGGAGCAACTGCCACGCGAGTGCCGCTTGCTGCTCGCGCCGTCAGCGCCGTTATCTAGTGTCGCACAGGGAAGCGCGCTCGCTGCTCCGGTCGTCGGCGCGGCCGGCGGGCTGTGCCAGAAACCGCACTATAACCGGTATTTCCCTTCGCGCGCCTGCATTTTAAGCGGCATGTAATTACATGGAGTTCTATGGGAGACGAACCGGTGGTTTAAAAAAACCGCGCTATACCCGGTCCTGCACTATAAGCGGTTACGTTGTAAGTGGTCTATACTTAATAGGAAACCAAACAAACGGAATGACCGTTGCCATCTGATGGTGACATATTCAGCTCTGCCCCAAGTAGTTGTAGTGCACCATCTATGAGTTGCGTTTTAAACGACAAAAGGGTACAGCCGGGCGATTCGCCGGCTTTGGCATTTTGGTTTCTGCTGGTGCGGCTGGCGATTCACCGGCTTCGATAGCAAATGGGTAAACCATGGCGGGAGATGAGCAAACGTTGCTATATGGGAAGAACAGTCGTCTTTGGTTCATTGTGCCTCCCTGCATTTGCAAATTTTGAGAGCCACAAAAATAAAAACTAATTTTTTTCAACCTTTTTTTATCGCACACCAAAAGTTAGCTTAGTCCTTATTAATGCGAAAGCATTAACTGTCCCATGGAGCGGAGCCGGCGTGCGTCTGTAGCTGCGAACAATGCGAGGTGCCGGCGGCAAAAAATTCCCAGGAGCCAGCGGCGTCCGTAATCGCTGTAACCGCGAGAAACGTGAAAGTCCCAGCGAAACGGCTTCTAGGTGGCCATTGGCCAGGACACGTATAGTTCCAAGGAACGCCCCCCTACTGAGAAGCCCTCTTTTTGGCGCTCCAGCCCGCACGCCAGGAAGGAGCGCGCTCGGCCGTCGCTCTCGTGTCAGGTGTTGCCGGAGGGGCGGGCTGCGGCTGCGTCTGCTCCTCTCGGCACTGAGGAACGTGTCGGCGCCCGAGGCATTTTTATCGTCAGCGGCTGCAATCTCGGCAGTAGCGGAACGTGGCCGTCCGCGCCAGTACACCGCAGACAAACAAAGGGAGTGGAAGAACTACATTCAAACTTTCGCATTCACAACTCATAAGAAGTGCTTAGGTGTCCTACTCTTTGGTGCCTTTCCACATTGCTTTTTGCCTCTTTGGAGATTGGCCCGTCGTTCCAAATTCACACAAAAACAGCTTTCCTCTCCCTCCCGCCTGTGACTTTGACTGGACTGCACGTAATTAAGTGAGATGGCTGTCACTTGGTCGCAACACGAAATCCCCTCTTCCCCGAAACGCCACAGGGACCCGATGAAGCCGACATCGCTGTTCGGGACCATCGTCTGGGAGCCCGCAACGAAGGGCAACCTGCAGTACCTGTCGGTGAACGGGACGTACTACGAGGCGCTCAACTCGTCGAGCTTCCTGCTGCGCGACTACCGACAGAAGGAGGCCCAGTTCTGGAACGCCTACCTCCCAGACCTGCTGCTGCGGCCCCCGGCCACCTGGCCGCCCTGGGAGGCGCCCCTGGCCCGGGAGAACCGCATCGTGACTGCCTCCTTGTGGGGGGTCACGGCCGCCGCCATGCTCTTCCTCCTCCTCGCCGTGCTGGGCTTCTGCTGCTACTGCAAGGCGGCAAGGTACGACGAGGCCCGCTGAGGCGCCGGCGCAGCCCCACGCACGACCGGCGCTGCCACGGGGGGAAGGCACGGGGAGCGGTTGACGGAGCACTGCGGGAAACTCTGGATTGTCGCTTAATTTGCGGATTGTCTGCGGCGCGAGCGAAGTCGTAAGCGGTTCTTTGGAACACGTCTTAAAAGTTGGGAGTCATTACCTTCGAAAAAGAACCACCTAGTAAGTTCGGGATGGCAGCCAATGTTTGGTAAGAGTCAGTCTCCAATCTGGTGCCTCAAGAAGCTACATCTCTCGGCGAAGCGTCAGCTGTCACCTTCAGACGCAATCCCCGTTGCTTTGGGCGTGCCCTACCAAATTAACAGTCTTTCTTACGAGCCCCGGTTCGGCTAGGTGATCACAGAGGTTTTGGGGTGCCTTATGCGGCACTTATACTATGATCCATAATTTTTCAAGTAGATGAAATGCCCTACATGCCCATATCCTACTAAAAATAATTTTTTATTTTTTTTTGACAACAGTTGTAAAGTTATATATGTTGTAACTTTTAACTCTACGGGAAGCTTCTTCATGGTTCAGCTAACTTTGTGATTGAATTTGTACAGATAACAATCTGCTGTTTGCTTCTTTACATCAAGAACTGTACAAGGCATCCACACTTTATTTACCACCTGTGTTTGTTTTCTTTTACACATTTTTTTGTGGTTGACGTAATATAAAATTAAATTCTCCTTTGACTTGGGTACTATATATTTCCCTAGCTTCCTCTGGGAATCGCCGCTATCCACGAGTCTAGGGTTATCTGGAAGAGCATGAACAGTATTTGAAACGGTGGTGTCATCAAGACTGCTCTGCCACCACAAAATTTTGTCGCGCGAGGTTCCTTCAAATATTTGGAGGAAATTCCTGGTTGAAGTTTCCCGCAGTGCTTCCGTGTACTAATGCATCGGACTGCCATTTTTAGGAAGACCAGTTTATTTGACAGTGGAGCCATACGGTTGTTTGCGACGAATGAGCAAACAACCATGCCCACACCAGCGATGCATGTATGTTTACGAGGTTCTGGATCTTCAGCACCTTTTCTGCAATAGGGATGCATGTGTGGGAAACTACGGGTGCCAATTTCATATTTTTTCAGGTGTATATATACACTGCCACGCTTTTACATCTTATCGATTGTGTAACGTGCTACATACCGCAATTGTCACTTTTTTTTACTCTTGGCAGTGCATTGTGCTGTGTGCTTAGCTTCGCTGCTTTTAAGTTGGTTGCCAATCAGTTGCCGGTCCTCTGGAGACCAATCGCCAATGTTGTGTTCAACCTTCTGCTTTGCTCCTTCCCGCTGATGCTGGACTTCACTGTTCATATGTCAAGGCAGATTGGCAACCAACCAATTGCTGATCAAGTGTCAGCATTGTCTGAATGGGATTGAGGAGCATGCCAATTGCATGGGGTTGTAATGTCGCCAAGATGCACGTTTGTGTCGGGAGTTGCCGCTCTGCTGCTAAAGCTGGGAGCCAGTCGACCGCCGACCACCTGCCGGCTTGATGCCAACCAATTGCCGATCGGTTGCCGGATGATGTCTGTGTGGGGGTCCGAGAGCATGCCCTTTGCTTGGGGGTTAATTGCATAGAAGTGTGTTTCCGACGGGAGTGACTCTATTAGCGTTACTACTCCCAAAACAGCCGACATCTGGTTGACGAGGACGAAATTCCGCGCGCATCAATGCATTCCCTGACGGAAAGTACCAATAGGTGAGTCCCCACGGTTTCCATTCCTCGCTTACGCCCTATGAGAACGCGCGACCGCTCTAACTAGGCGACTGGGCATCGCTGAATTCGGCACTTTTGAGTCCTACCTGTTGCAGCTTTCAAGAGCTCTGTTACCGCATTTTCCACCTCTGCAGCATCAGAAGAATGGAGTTTAAGAACAGGTACGCTTCGTCCGAAGATCCAGGAGAGTTGAAGTCCCTCAAGAACACTAGCGTGTGACAGAGAAGCTTGCGGCTGGGCCGCGTTGAGTGACCCGATCCTGTACATAGGGCCAGCGATCGTTGTACAAACCTTGGGACCAAGGGCAGTTGGAGCCCTATGGCTCCATGATCTCCAGTTGGGAACACAAGTCAGCCCGAGTGTATGTGTTGTGCCTGGAACGTGCTGTTAGATAGAAAGCGGGAATGCGAGTTTCATTGGTTAAGGCAGTGCACCGACATCGCCCCCTGCCGGCTGTTTATTGGAATGCATTTTTTTAAACTGTGGCGATACGCTTTATCAGGTTTAACTGGTGTCAACACATGTCAACGATGTACTTGATTCACAACATCATTCATTTTGTGCCATTGTAAGGTCATGTGGAGCATCCGAAACACGGTGGCTGTGCAGCCTTAGGCCATCCATTGCGAGCCTTTCACGCAGTATCGACGAGACGTAGCCACCGCATAGTGAGCGCCGAATTCACTTGTTTTTAATGTCGATCACATTTCAGGTTCCTTACCATTTCTGCTCATTACGAGAGGTTATCCCTCGCTCCTTTCCAATCGTGCATTTGTTTCCAGGTTGCTAGACTAGCTAGGTAGGGTCGCTCGGCAGCAAGCTGCGACTGAAAAGAATGAGACAACAGGCTGGTCCTAAAGAGTGTCTTTTAGCATGTAGCAGTAGTTTTTGTGATGTTGCGAGAGAATTGGGTGGCAATGACGTGGAATGTACGGGTGCACCAACGTGGCTCCTAAGGCTGTGCTATATGTACTCGTACCTTATTTTTCCTCGTTTAATTACCTCAAATACATACGTGGCTCGACTGGTATCGAGGACGAACAATATGAATAGTTTTCCATGGCTTGCAGTATAAAGGAACCAGATCAAATTGATGTGCAGAATATATCGGCCAACCATAGCTCAGATCAAAGGGTTTTAAAAGGCCATCAGAGTGGACTCGGTTTGAAATGAAAGCTCAACACACTGAATTTACATAATCGTAGAAAAATTGTGTGTTTCAAACGAAATGAAATGAAGGTGTCTGTATGATAACTTGTTTCTCGCCATCTCAGTTATGCCTTCTGTCAGGAAAATGCACATCCTTTTTCATCCCAGATTGTTCATCTAAAAAGCATCATTGCAGCATGCATTCCATAAACTTAAGGGAGGAGTCACACCCAAAATAGAACAAACATGCGCATTGTTGTCAGTTTTTATACAAAGTTGTTCGACAATGGTTGGAGCTTATCGTTGCATATCTAGCCGGCAGATCAGACACTCTCACACGCGGTGCGCAAGTTGTTCTAGTGAGATGCCTGTCGCAGCTGGTCACTTTCCGAGTTTCCTTGGTTGGGAGGTTTCGGCGCAAGATTGTACATCAATACAAGCAGCCATTGGGCATGGACGTAATTGCTCCTAACTCAAACTATCTCCAAGTTTGTCTTGCAACATAAATGTTGCATTAAGAGTTGTTTGTTTTTTAGGGGAAAGTGCACTTTATGACGTACGTGTCCAACCAGAGCATTTTACAAAAAACTTTCTTTGGGAGCATGGTGCTAAAACGATTTGTGCCAGGAAATCTTTCAAACCAGCAGCTCGGAAAAATGCCCATTTGCCTTGCGCACTGCCACGGCGGTTCGGGACGTTTGTCCCGATGCACTGTTCACTGCTAGCGTGTACGTGTCACAATGTTTACTCATTCCACAACGACTGTCTCACAGATTTTTGTTAATCATTCTTGTTTTCTGTTGACGATCATCAAAATGCCGTCGGTTTACAGCGGTACCTGCCTAGCCTCCGTCCAAGACAAATGGCAGTTGAAAGGCTGCAGCTCTTTTTTGAGAACTGTTAAGCCTCCACTTTTGGAATTGTTTTTTCCACCCGAACAATCGTTTACATGCTCCTTAGCATCGCGGGAAATGCAGCACATCCTTTTAGTTAATGCAAAGCAGCGTCGTATTTCCGCTTAAAGCTCAGTCGGTCCGTGAACGGCTGCTTGATTTGTTGCATTTCTGGTGAGGTGGTCACTCACCCAAAGGTTTGCTGGCACCGTGCCTTTTCAAATAAACACCTTTTCAAACACGGCCATCTCGTGTCGTCAGACTCCCATTCTTCCTCCATCACCGACGCTAGGCTCGGTGACAACTGTCAAATTCCACTTCCGTAAACGCTACAAGCATGAGGGACGCAAGTCATCCAAGACATTCCCACTGCACGCCCACGCAAGGAAAAGAACCTCCTTCCAAGGTTGGTAGGTTACACTTTTTCATGCTTGAGGGAACAGAAGCAGATCCGAATTTGTTACGGCATTGAGACGACTGCTGGGGAAAAGTCTCTCAACATTACCAGCTTGTTTTCTTACCCTGACTGGGTGGTAGGCTGAAATGCAGTTGATTTTCATCTAGTCTCGCTATCTCGTAGCCGAGTACACATGTACGAGACAGCAAATTGCGTCAGTGCAGTTTTCGAAACATGTTGCGAGTTCGGGTGCAATGGATGTGGCAAAGGGCAGTCTCGCGTGAAACTTTGGGTATCAATTGGAAATGCCAGCACGTCAACGGGAAAACATCGTAGGCCAAACATGGGAGAAGCGTTCCCTTCGTACAAAAGGTGCTGCTCAATCATGGCCAAGCATTGAAGGTTGTACCTCTTTGTGGTTATTGTTGAAAACCTAAAATTGCCACCAGTACTATCATCTTGTTTCTACCGCTACAGTGCCCGAAAAGAGTCTCCGGCCGGTACGTTGTGCGTGCCCCATGCTGCCGACGCATCGAAAGCGGTCCCGCAGTGGCAACAAACGATGTCGCAGTGTCGTGTTGCTGGCTGTCGCGATCCCGGTGGCCGGCGCTAGAAGTCCCGGCAAAAAGCGTGAGCGCCGCGGTCGTCACGGCATCCCAACTTCTTGCCGCCGAAGCTTCCGTCGACCCTCGAGCCGAAGAGGGACCGGCAGCAGAACGAACATCTGCCGCGCCACTGCCGGGATTGCAGCAGACAGCAGCACGACACCCCTACAATGTCGTCGGGTGTAAATGGAAAGACTACGTTTGAGGACACAGCAAAACGGACCAGTGGGAGACGGGTTTCAGGTAGCATACTATCACCATCCAAACTGGCACTCTAATACGACCCCACTAAACTCCGGTCGACGTCTCCTTCGTTTTGTCAATGACAGAAGGCGGCGAGAACAAAACCGCAACAAAGACGGGTAAGCATTATATCGAACTTCATCGTTTTAATAGCAAATGAAGGGCACATTCATATATTACAGTTGGATGCCAGACTGCCGACCGAGTCGGCTCAGCTGAACATGTCGTCGTAATCCGGTGGCGGGGGAAGGTGGTCCGGCGATGGCCTAGAAACGGTGGAAACGAGAAAAACGATTGCTGCTGTCAGTGTTGCCTCAGTCATATCTTTTCCCATAACGTGAGCTTCACCGAACAAGCTGCCAGACAGGACAATCCGGCTCCGAGATGCAGCAACAAAAGGAGTCCCCGCCATCAAGATGGCAGTGGGAGAGGGGAAAATGGGAATGGTGGCGGGGAGGGTTTCCCTACAGCGCGGAAATCTTTTTGTAGGTCGGGCTTTAAAGAAGAGCTCCGGCAGTTCTTTTAGCTGTCCACACTAAACATATTTTTTAAAATAGCCAGGCTTTACTCTTCCCGGCATGCTATTATCACTAAATTCAAAATAGCTATTGAGAAAATGGTAAATGAAGGTGATGCCATAACCAGCACCGACGGGAACGACCTGCACCACCCCCATATTACGGGATTTTACTTTGTGCTTTTAATGTTCCCAGTAGAGCCTCTCGGGCTGTCTAACTAAATTTGAAGAGCCAGTAACTTTCTGCAAAATCTTATTGATTTGTAACTTGGCTTACCACTTCCAATGTGTCTATTATTGTGTCAAATGAATTTCGAGGAAAATCTGTGACTAAATTTCGCCGGAGCTCCACAAACCTAAAACCTCTAGCACAAAATAGGGAGAGAGGCTCGACGCAGACCAATTGTGAAATGCGCGTCCGGAATGTGCGGCAACCAGGCACCTTGGTAGACGCCACACCTCCAAAGGACGGAGGCTACCCCACCCACTCTTGTCTGACGTACCCGGCAAATGTGTGGCGGTTCCCCGGGTTGTTCGGGTGAGGGGGCCCAAAAGGGTCGAACCTGGCTCCAGGGGGCACCGCTCCCCTGCGGAGAGGAAGCAAAGCGTCAAAAGAGGCGCGCTGCAGCAACGTCACAGTCCCTCGGGACGCGAGAAGCACCCTAAAACATGGCCCCTTTCCTGCGCTTTCGCAGCAAAAGCAGCGATAACGCAGAACGTGGCAAGCATTGCCTCGTGGCAGAGCTCCGCAAACAAGCTCAATGTGCAGTCTGTGCCTCGACGGCGCAGACGTCGTCGCGAGCGTCTCAAAAAAAAAAAAGCCCAGCCAAAACTAGCGCTCAGCGAGTGAAGAACGCAAAGTTTGTGTCTCTCGCGATTGCACGCGCCAGTGTTGACCCTGCCATATCTCGTCTCCCCATATCCTCCGAAGAACGTGCTTGGTGTCTTCCTCATCACCCACAGCACACTCCCACCGTGGAAGTGCGCTCGCTCAACACCTACTACAAAACGAGGGTGCAGTGGTACCGAATTTTCCGCATCTTACTCCAACGCAGATTGGACACGAGTGCTGCGTCAGCATTGGGCTCGTGCTTGATCGGTGATATTACGAGTGCCCTCCAAACACCGATGGCACGCTCCCGCGACACTTTCATTGCGCAAGTCTTATAAAAGGTGGTCAGGTTAGGTTAAGCCTAACCTAACTGTTTACCGCACCCCAAAATGTAGTGTCTCAACTTCCGCCAGCGATGACATAGAAGCGTCGCGTCGTCGCAGGCCACGATCTTGGCGGTGTTGTGGCGGCAGCGGAGGATGCGACGGACGCTTGTTCTGCCGCAGGTTGCTTTCCAGACTAAAGGTTCGCGGTAGCTCTGGCAGCCGGGACTCCGGGACGCCGCGACGATGGCGATGCTCACGTTTGCTCGTGCTTTTCGCCGGCATTTCCACGAATGGCGACAGTCGGGATCGCGACGTCCGACGGCACGACGCTCCGGCATTCGTGGCATCTGTTGCCGCTTCAAGACCGCAACATTCGACGGCGCGACGAAATGCCAAACGCATTGGTCGAAGGCGCATTCTGGGCATCGTGGCCATAGGAGCACGTTTTGTATCGAAAGGCCGGGCGGTTTGTCGGGGGAGATCGAGATATTCGTCGAGGGCCCCGCGTGCGGACGCCTAAACAGTGCGGCGGTCGGCGGGTGCCCTCCGTGGGCTGTAGCGGAAGGCGGTCACCTGGGCAGTCCGGGTATCCCCACCCCAGGGTCCGAGTGGTGGGGTCTCGGTATCTGCCTGGGGTCCATGATCATGCCGCCCCCGGGTCCCGTGTAGAAGGGGTTCAGGTCCCGCTGGCCCAGTCTCCCCGGCTCCTGCAGCGGGTTCCTGAGACCGCGCGAGATGGAACACCTCGACACCTTCGACCTTGGTTCCCCCACATGAGATCGTAAAATGTCTATGTTACAACGAAATATATGACTTGGCACGACACTAAAAGCGGTGGCCAGGCTCCCTAAGATTTTTTTCTGACCACGAGCGAGAAATAAAAGGGAAAAGTGCAATCGATGGAAAACATTGAGTTCATTTGTTTAGCAGGTTTTCTCGTGTCGGGCGTTGCTGGGGCAAGGGCGCTGCGGCCGCTTCGAGAGAGCGCGCGCTCAGCAACCTCGGCAGGAGCGAAACGTGGTCGTCCACACCAGTAAGGCACAGATGAACTAAGGGAACAGAAGAACGACATTCATGCTTTCTCATTCACAACTCCTAGTGCTTAGGTGTCCTTGAAATTCTATTTGTCTTTCTATGTATTTTACAGCGGAGCCGTTAAGGGCTAGGTTCCCCAGGATCGTGTCCGTGTATGTCGACACAAACCTACTTGGACAGCTACCGCCATCTATAAGCGACAACGGCAAGCACACAAGCAGTATGGTTTCCGCCGTCGCTCGTAGATGGTGGCAACCTTTGCAGCTATAATAGGAGAATGGATAGTTGCGTGCGTTGGTGGGAATTCATCGTAGGAAACAGCGCGAAAAACAGACGACGACGAAGAAGAAGCACACAGTGTATCGAGTACAGCTCCGCTGGTCTTCCTTCTTCACGAGAGTGGAAAGGCTGAAAGGTTCTTTTGTGTAGATTCGTTCAAAAATTGTATTCATAATTTGTGAAGAATTAGGAACACGACAAAACTAAACTCCAATGAATGCCACATTTTAAAGAATTTGAAATTTAACAAAAATCATCTCCAAAACAACAAATTTGCAAAAAAAAAAAAAAAAAGTATCACTACTGCGTGGTGCACGTTAAAGACCCCAGGTTAGCGGTTGTACTGCACTGGCTAAATTGCTCATCTACAGCGAGTGACTCGTCGCAACTTTGAAATGGCTGACTAACTACACGGTAAATAAATATCCACGCAACCACAATTATTATTATTAAAAAAATTGACAGCGACCTTCATTTCCAAAGTCCTGCGTGAAATGCAGCATTCGAGGAGCGATCGTTAAGATTTGTTTTGAATACACTAAACGGTCATTTCGGGGAGTGAAGAACCTAGATTTTTATTCATTTTCTCGCTAAATTTAACGGGGAAACTGACTTGCTACAAAGGTCATGTGATGCCAATTTTGCTGATAAATTTAGCGAGAAACCAAATTGGTGTGATAGGTCATCTAACACCAGGTCACATAATGTTGATCAGGGTGTCTAGCAAATTATTATTTTGAAATTCCCTGACTTTTCCAGGTTTTCCCTGATAATTTCAAGTGAAATTCCCTGACCACTGTAGAGGTGGTTAAATATATAAGACCTTTAGAACACATTGCAAACAGAACAAACAGAACAATTAGAACAAATGTGCTCCAAATTGAGCATTGAGCACTGCGAGGATAATTTTACATGGGCTTAATCCAACTTCCATATTCCGAAATATTCAGGTTCATCCAGTCCGGATTAAACAATCACTTTCTTGCCGCCGACGTCATCAGTGAAGAGGCCACTTCCGGAAACACAATGGAAACAGTACACTGAACCACACACGTCAGTAACCAAATGGCAGCATGGCCGCCAAATGCACACTTCCAGATACTTTCGGCTTAAGGCTTGCATTGGGGTCTGCGGCTTTCCCATTTGTTACTAAATAGAGTAGCTCTAACTGGATCTAGCCTAGTGTTGTGCCCTCAATCCAATCCAAGTCTTGGACTGGATTTGACGGCTGTTCCCTTTGCATCGGGTAGCGCACTCTACATCGGGTGAGCAGAGCCCGCACTCTGCCCTCAGCAGAATTTATTGCCTATTTTTCTGCCCCCAAGTCCTCGAGTCTTTTCTAAGAGCACTCGATGGCTATTCCGGCTCATTTTCCCTGACTATGCCCGCATTGTGGCAATATCCCCGACAATTCCCCGATTTTTCCCGGTAATTAAGATTTCCCCGACAGTTCCCAGCTTTCCCGGTCGCTAAACACCCTGGTTAATTTCCTCTCCAAATTTGGCTGAAAAACTGAATTAGTGTATAGGTCACTGGAAGTAAGTTTTCCCGCTTAATTTAGTGGGGAAACTGAATTGGAATATAGGTCATGCGACATCAATTTCTCCGCTAAATTTAGCAGGAAATGCAAGGACGGACAAAACTTTGGGATTTGGGGGGGGGGGGTTGAACATTTCATGCTCTAAAACAGTCTAAGAAAAACGCCTTCCAAAAAGTAAACTCTGAGTACACAGAATTACATCTATTCTGTTCATGCAAAAGTTCTTTTTAACTACTATGCTCACTGCCAAGCCTACAAGTGCAAGAGCAAGAGACCTCGGCATCGAAACGCTCTTCTGCAGAACACGCGCTCGCGCCAGAAAGACGCGTCTCGAAGTAAGGAGGGTGGTCCAGAGCGCATGCTTGTATCCTTGGCTGAAAGCTCGGCTCAAAAAAGGTGAACGGAGTAAACACTCGGCACAGCAGGACGCGCGACAGGCTGCAATGCCCCTCACCATTCGATGCCTGGCTGCCTGCTGGGGATGTGGAGCGGGTTGTACTCCTGGGACACGTTGCGCGAGGGACAGCTCGAGGTGGACGCCTCGTGGGCGGTGTCGATCGACTCCAGGGTCGACACCACGTCCTGAGTCACCTTGCCCACCACCACGTCCAGGTCCTTGAACGCCCTGGACCGCACACCGTGACACCCGTCGTCAGACGCCGATCGTCGGACGTTTTTGGAACGGGAAGCCGGGGTGCGAGATGGACGACGGGGTACAGTCGAGAGTGCAGCGAGTAATGTCGCGCAAAATCGGCCACACTTGTCTGGTTACCGCGACGTCTTGCTGTGCCTTGTTATTTTGTGAGTATTCGTCCTTCTCAAACATGTTTTCATCTATCCACAGTAGGAATGTGCGAATATTCCATTAATAGTTTCGAATAGTATGCTATTCGATATTCGCTTCTAAATGAACAGCAATATTTGCACTATGCAAACAGTCAAATCACGGCACGTTAGCCCCATTGAGCACGCTTCTTATTGAGCACTGGTGCACTGGGCAGAAGCAACAACCGCGGAGTTCGCTTTTGCCAGAGCCATGTATAGAGAGAAAGTGGCTGTTCATTGGGAAGTATAGGAGGCACATGAGGAGGCGCCATTGGCCGAGAGCAGGCTGGGTCTGTTCCAGGCCGTCTTTCACAGATTCAAATGTGGCCAGCCAGGAGCCGCGAATAATACCCTGGCGGTGGTCGCGAGAAACAAAATTAATGAGTGTGTCAGAGTAATTCTCGGCAACTAAAGATATGGCACACGTGATTTTTTAATCACGATCATACAAAATCAAAATTTAGAAGAATGATAGCCGAGGGCCGGAAAAATGCCGTCCGAGCAGTCAGACTCTGCCTGAGCAAAACAGAGTTTGAGCAGTACAGAGCACGACACTGTTAGCGCGAACAAGCGATCGCCGGTTTTGCCAGTTTTTCTTTTTGAAACCAAGAGATGTCATCCAAGTTATTATTGCTACGGAAAGAGCTCATTTAGTTCTATAATGTAAGCGATAAAATTTCATGCTCGCTAATACTATTTAGAAGTAAAATGTCAAAATACGCCGATGTCGCGTTCGCGCTAACAGTGTTGCGATGTGTACATTCTATTCTTACACCTTTTTGCATGATCATAATCAAAACATCATGTGCGCTACATTTAACTCTTACGCACTTATTAAAAGTGTTTCTCGCTACCGCCGCTAGGGGATTATTTTCGTTTTATGGCTGGCCAAAAGAGCACGTCAAGCCTTCTATCTGTGTCTCGTGCACACCCTGGCTTTGCTCACTCCCCCCATTGACCAAACTCTCTCTATATATGGCTCTGGCTTCTGCGGGTGTTGCTTTTTCCCACTGCACCGGTGCTGGGAAAGAAGCGCACTCAACAGGGCTAACCTTCTGCGATTTACTTGAAAAGTATGAACATCGCAGCCGCATATGTGCTTAATAGAAAAGCATGTTTTAAAGTTGTAATGGTGCACATGCGTGCCTGGTGTATTTAAGAAGAAATTAAACTTTGCAAATGTTTATCCCTACACTGCAGTCAAATTTTCTAAATTAATCTGGCTATTAAGTGCAAGCATATGTTAGGCAGAGATGCCCTGACAACCTGCATTAATCATTCATGATTGAAGGAAAGGTATTTTCATATAGCAAGAATATTAAGAAGTCCTCTCAATTTGGTATAGCTGGGCATCTCTAGAGGATTAACTTCATGCCACATGTATCGTTTACTTGCCATCCCAACGAGGGGGCACTGGACTTACTAAGGTCACAGTCAATAAATATTGCTACAGTGGAATCTCGTTAATTCAAACTCTCTTAACTCAAAGTAACACGCAGGTCCCGTCCTATGTGCTTCTAGGAAGGAAACTCCCGGCGATTCAAACTTTGCATTATTCAAAGAAAGTTCTAGTCCACCTCGGGTTCAGATTCAGAGATTCAACATAGATTAAAATTAGCTAAAGCCTGGACTAGTGTAAGCTTGGGAAGAATCATCATGAGTTTAGCTGAGTTTTCATTTAAGCATAGTGCAGTAGTGAAAGACTTAGGAAAACTATTCAATATTAGGTTTAAAAAAGTATTTGGCCAAAACTACTACTGTAAAACCCTTTATTTTCACGGCCCCTATTTTTCGCAAATCAGTCAAAGAGGACATAATCACGGCCGCTAAATTTCTCGAATTCCAGACTCCTGCATTGAAACTTTTAAAACCTGAAATTTGCACGTGCCTTTAAATTTCGTGAATCTTTTGATTCGCGAAAATTAAGGGCTGCGAATATTAAGGGTTTTACAGTATTTGCTTCAAACTGAAAATCCACTATTTGCACATGACTAATCCACTGTTAATGAGACTGGTCTGGAGCTAGATGCTTAGGACTTTGCCACACCTTGCTCATTTTCACCAGGTACAGCAATGGACAAAGTAAGCTGAAACAACCGAGCGACGACCCTAAGATATTGGTAACACTGCCCCGAAACGAGAAGTGTCGAGCATACCATCTGATTCGGCATGATGATGCTTGAAACTGTGTGCAGTTGATGCGCAGATGCCGCTACTGGGCGTGCTTCTAATTATCAGAAAAATAATTTTACTAATGCAGGAACCACGCACACAGATTACGAAGGCAGCAGCAAGCGCAGGTACGCTATAGCAAAAAGCAAAGGCAAGTCACATCGAAGAGCTCTTAAAATGCGAAAAGGGAACAGGCAGAGTCAGATAGCAGTGGCCAACACACTCTATGCTACCTCTCGGTGATATTTCAACTAGCATCGATGCAGCGCCACTGGTATATTTCGGTTGTTGCTCGGTCATTTCAGCTTGCAACCCACAACTGTACAATGCTTTACACAGGCACGTAGCCAGGGGGGGCGGCCCATGGGGCCCGGGCCCCCCCCCCCCCCCCCCCCCCCCCCCGAAATCTTCGATTTTGCTGGGACCTCCTCTCCCCCTCATACAGCATTTTGTCATGGGCGGCCCCCCCCCCCCCCCCCCCCCTCCCCCCGAAACAAAATCCTGGCTACGTGCCTGGCTTTACATGTCTTGTTGCAAGCGGGAAGTCAATTTTGCCACAGTAAACTTGCCACCTAAAACAGTTTCTACACAAAGTTGGGCATTCCTTTTGTAATCTTGCTATTTTATTTTCTTAAGTTAACCAATCATCCCATACATACTAGGGTGTCTCCGGCCAATGGCTTGCAACGAGCCACACTGCTAATTCACCTTGGAGTAAAATAGTGTTAATGAAACCTTTGGATACTGTGGGCAGTGCCTATGTTTTGAGAAGCCCTTCCCTGCACCTCGGCAGGCTACTTGCCTGGAACAGTCACTGAAGTCGTCCGAAACATGCTTGTCAACGCTGAAGTTTGTTGAGGCTGTCTTCTCTTTGCGGATGTTCTGAAAAAGAAAAGTCATTGAGGGCATGTGACAACCTCCATGAAGGTAGCATTCACGTCGGTAGACGTCTTGCCTAATAAAAGATGGTCTATGGGACGACACTCTAGCAAACGATGACATAAAGTTGAGCATACGATGTTACTGTAACCATACATTTGCATGTTAAGTAGATAGAACAGATAATAAACAAGCACTCAGCAATCTACATAAAGCCTCCTTGCACTGCACTAGTATTAACTATTGTTACCAACGTGCCCTGCCCAAGTTATGGCATGGCAAGGCAGCCGGTGTAACACATCTAAGGAATCTTGCGACAAATTAGTGGCTATCTCAAAAGCACTCTACGATAACAACTGCTGCCTAGCACTGGGTCAAGACACCTAAGGTGTCGAGTTCGAGTTCTCCAACTTGCCAGCAAGCTTTTGAACTGGGAAATGGTTTCCTTTATTTTTACAGGTACTTTACGGAAACTAAGCTTTCAGTTCAGAACTGTTGTGTTCAAATATCACAAGACAAATATAGAACCTACGAAAATTGTTTCATGGTCTGTTTAATGTTACTACTTTATACACCTGCCAGTGAATAGCATCGGCAAGTTGTCACTCACCAGAACATTGACCAGCAAGAATCCGTCTGCTCGCAAAACTTTGAGGAGGTATCGCTCAGTCCCTTGGGTGTATCGCAGCGTGTACACGGCCTGGTTGGCATTCCACTCTGGTGGGAGCAGTTCTGTGCTCTGGAGAGGCTTCGTCCACTGGCAGCGAAAGAGGTAAAAAAAAAACACGGAATCTCTATGAACATAGACTCTATTAATTGCACTACTGCAGGCAGGATGAACACTGGAGTGTTGTTATGTTGCACTGACACAGAACACCAGGCCACATGACGTCAGGCCATGTGACGTCACGTGCAAGGCATGTATTGAAAGTTTGTCTCAATTATCGTTTGATCCAGGTAATGTCATTTTCTCACACTTCAGCATTCTATCCCAACGGCTAGCGTCATATTCTCACGAAGTTTGAGCATCTGCTCAAAAGATGCTCAAACTCCGTGAGTTTGAGCATCTTTTTTCGGGAACTCCCTGCACACGTTTTGAACAGCAATGCACTTCTCTGGATTGTCTGTGAAACGTAACTCTGCACAAAAGCATTCTTTTTTTTTTTTTTTTTATTTTCGAAGTGCACATGAGACATGCTACTTGACTGGCTCTTGTCAAATTATTAGTAAGTTGTTCCAAAAACATTGCCAATCAGTGTTCCGGTTTCGTTTTGGCAGCCATAGTGAAGGAGAATGTAGCTCCACGGACGACCTCTCGCATGTGGAGGCGTTGTTTCAAGATCAGTAATAGCAATCCCTCCTTTCTAGCATAAAAAGCGTCTATGCTGCCCCCGGAACGTTATCAGTAATGCTGGTAAATCCTCCAGAGTTAATGGCAACGTAGGAGGGTTTTCTACTGGTGAATGACACGGCGAATTTTGTATCGTCGGGGCTTTCCGTTCGGGACTTGCTTATTATTAGCTCTGTTTTGTTATATATACATATCTGCCTTATAAAGAGGCTCGATCGTTGATAGGAGCCTGCGACACATGGATTGCACTGTTACATAAGAATAGGTGAGCGCGTAAACATAACTCATTCGCGGTTAACGTCCCCCTTGCTCATACCGGTAACACAAGTGCGTGAAAGCAAAACAAACCACCTCTTCGCCGGTGCCTACGCATCGTTTGCCGCTCCTGACAAGAAGATAGTGCACCAACAGCACTAAGGCGTCGTCCTTTGAGCGCAGGGCTTCTTTGCAGGATTTGAAGAGCAGTTCCAAACCGAAAAAGCTTGTCAACACCGGAACCCGAAGCTCCTCCCGAACTCGCCATTTTTACATTATCATGAAGCGTAGTGGATATACTCACGAGTCCTCTGGGTGTACATATCAAATCTTTGAACTGGTTGGCAGTATGCGCCATCTTTTATAAATGTTTAAAGTTAAACAAGTAATTTTTTATTTAAATTTTGTTTTTTGAATAAGTTGTCGGCTTGCGCCATCTAGCTTGTGTGTATTACAATTATGTGATCCCTTCTTATCTTTTTTTTTCCCCTCTTTAACCGCTACGCTTGCTTCTTTAAATGCCAGGTAACTTCTATATGTCCCATCAATGGAGGCGATGGAGACCCGCATATCTCCCGGCTTCTTCCTCTCTCATCGTCCCAAATAAACAGGGACTTTAACCAGCAGACGAAATATTATTCAGTGCTTTAACCAGCACCAGCAGAATATGCCAGCGCCTCCATTGACAACACAGAGAACAACAAACTCAACTTGAGACCGTGTTGTGTGTTCTTTTCATTATTATGACACCCGGCTCGTTTGTGCCCTCATATTTTGTTTTCCTCCCCCTCTTTCCGTTTTGTTAATGTTTCACTGCGCGCGCGCGCGCGCAGTTATGGCCGTGACCCAACTGAGTTACGGTTTCGGATCGAAGAAGCGCCCCTGGAAAGGGAACAAAAAGTCGTCTCTCGAGCTGGTTTATCTTACTCGTCTCGAGCATTTTATTTGGGTCATGTCAAGGACGCTCAAATCCTCGAGGTTGTGCGTTATGTAAACAATGAGAGCATTACGCATTTGCTTCTCTTCTTGTATTTCGAGCGCGATTATTTTTTGATCGACTGAATGCTACCCTCACAGTGGCTCTAATCCCAACCAAAGCTGGAGGGACGCAGTGTCTCTGATCCTAACCAGAGCTGTGTTATAAAAAGGATAAGCGCGCGCAGGTAGATACATAACGCTCGATATGCGTCGTGTTTCTATACTTGCCCATTGTCGCTTGGCGCTGTTTTTATTTCTTCCACCTTCAACGTCTACGTATAGCGTTGCTTTTTTTTTTCTTTTTTGTGCAATAGACATGCAAGTGTGCAGTAAAATCGCATTTTTTATGCTTTTTGTTAAAAAAAAAACTTTCCTCAATGAGTTTATTTTTTACTTTGATTAAAAGTAGGCTTAACATCGCAATCCACACCATAGAAAATGTGCGCGTGCATTAATTATGAATTTATATTTTATAAATTCTCCATAAACAACTGAAGCCTGATATATTGAGAATTCCGCCGCATGCGACCGTTCAGGCAGCAAAACTTGGTGCTCAAAGCTGGCAGTCCTCCTGATGTAGTGATCTAACAGAGTGCATTAGCCATATCCGAGTTTAAGCTTGCTGCGCAAGTACGTTGCTGCTGTGGATTGAAACAATATCCCCCCGGGCGCCTATGCTGGCAACTGATCTACGAGTTCTTAATCCGTGACAGACAAGCAAACACGAAACTTTTTTATTTTATCTTGTTTTTTTTCTTGTACTCAGCGTTGCTCGCGGGACAGCTGAAACGACACGTTCAGAAAGCCGCCCCCTTTATTTTTCTTTGCCTGTTGGAATTGAAGAGCCTTTCGAAGTGAGCGAGAAGGAAGCAATGAAGGAGGGAAAGAGAGGGGAGAAAGGGTGGATGGGAAAGGAGGTAGAGGAGCGAGAGTGATCACGTGACTTGCCCCCATGTCTCGGGGAGCGCAAGTGACAGTGAACATGGTGCCGCCGCGTTCGGGACGCTTTCCACGGTCGTCGGCGGTGTGAAACACTTGGAATCGGGTGCCGTGAAAGCCAAGATGGTGGGTTCCTGATCGGACGCTGGTTCGCCGCTGGTGCCGTGTGTTTTGGCGGCGTCGGCGCCCGAGAAGAAACCATGGATGTCGTCGGCGAAGACCAAGCGCTCCAGGCGGTCTTGGGTAAGTTCGCTTGCTTTGCCAGCCGTGCCCTTTCCCCTCCCGCAGGACCGCCTCCTCTCCGCTACCTCCCTCCCTTCTCTCACCACCTACCTACCTGTTGCATGCTGTTATTGCCTCTCGATTTCCGGGGGGAGGGGGGGGTTGAGAGAGAGGGGGTCTCTTATTTCCTTCTTGTGAATTTGTTTAAAACTGTTGCTGCTTCTTCGCCACATATTTATTGAGTTTCTTTTATCTCCCACCTCGTGATCTAACTACGATCTCCCCTTTGGCTACAACCCGGCTCAAAAACAACCCGTGGTCCCAGACCAGCTGGATCCTTTTAAATCTGGCCGCGGGGTTGAGGTTTTTGCGAGGCAGCCCGGTTGCCCGCACCGGTTCGACCAGAAGCGCGGCCGCACTTGTTTTGCGTCGAGCCAGCCGAGACCAGCGAAGGTGGTTAGGCCTAGCGGCGGCTCTGCCGAATTTCACGGTCATTCACATTCCAGAGGCCGCGCTTCCCCAGCGACCGGCCTGGCCCGACCGACCGGTGGGACGCCGCGCTGCCCCGACCGTCCCGCCGGAAAAATAATGCCTCGTTACGTCGGATAGTGTTGAGGCGTTTCGTACGCGCTCGTGAAACAAGCGACACTTTGCGGCATAAAACGACCGTTGCACACGCTGCATCATGACCAGAACTGGCCTCTCGTCCATTCGTGTTTTCGTCTGCTACGGTGCGATTACACGATGTCCTCCGAAAGTTCGTTTCCCTTGTAGCTTTTGGCAACGGCGTCGAGTAGCAACACGGCGTTTGTCACCTGATATAGGGTTTTGCCTGAGAAAACATTAGAATTAAGGTTGACTTCGGGCAATTATGCGGTGCCACCACCGGTTTTTGACGTCATGAAATGGCTAGGGTCGTAAATACATTCTGTGAGGAGGTTGCGTGACCAGCCTGTTTCCGATACCGCGGTAACCTCGTGGGCACTTATTTAGCCGTTTTGTTACCCCGTGATTCACCAAGAAGGAGCCTCGAGATGTATATTTTTTCATTGGGAACTTCAATCTACTTTTACTATTATATATCTGACAGACTAGGACGTTAAGGCGCAATGTTGCGTACTGTTCGTCTAAAGAGCGCTTTCACCTGACGTCAATTCACCATTTTGTTGTTAGAGAGAGTGAGAGAAAAAATATTTATTGATCACAAGAAAAAAAAATCAACGATAAAACTTACAATCTATTTGTGCACTACCGCTTTGAGGGCGTCCTGTGAATCTTCGGGATTACAGTCGCCTTTGCCACGCGCCAGACAGCTTATGACAACAAGATGGTGGACGAAATGACGTCAGTGAAAACACCCTATATGCTATTTTAGTGATTGGATTTTGTAACTAAGACTAAGCAGACAGATTGCACTTTATTGTTCCGCTTCGCATTCGCCACTCTTTCTTTTCGTGCATGTCCAATATCACTTTTTTTTTTTTTTTTTTCATTTTGCAATTATACGTATGGCAACACCACGGAAGAGTCGAGCAAGCGTATGCTGTCAAAAAATGTATATATATATATTTTTTTTACAAGCTTTTGCGTAGTTAAAGGCGATCTGTTGCAACTCCTTGGCGACGCCTCTGAAAATACGTAATAAAATGCGCGGTTATGGCATGCGGTCCCAGCTGATACATGTGCTAAAACTATATAGAGAGATAGCGTTAATCAAGGACGAGTTTTTAACATAATTTTCTTCGCGCGAAATATGTGCGTCATTTTTACTTCCAGGGAAGAGTCGCAGGTGTGATCGAAAACACGGGTGTGATCATTCCGATGTGAAACGTGGAATAATTTCGAAGCAAACCCTCGTTTTAACAACACTCCCCCCCCCCCCCTCCCTTTTTTTTTTTAATTTTCTTATTAAAAAATAATAATAGAAGAAGGCTTTCATGTGGTTTCTAGCCAAATCAGGCACGCTTTTGGCGCTGAAGTTATATTTTTCGATGGAAAACAGAATACAGGTTTTGGCGCCATTGCTGCAATGAGAGGTGGTGCAAACCGCAAGTTCGGGAGATATTTTGTTATTTCATTTGTTTTGTTTAACGAAACCAAGATTCCAACTACGAACAAGCCGAAGAACCCTTTCTGAACGCTGCTTCGACGGCCATTTTTACCTTGCCGATTCCGAAATCGTTTCTCTCTCCACGTTTACAACGCGCCCATCCCACCGCGTTACATTATTATTTTTGCTAAATAACCGCCGCCCAGTTTTTTTTTTTTGTATTTTTTTTTTATGAAGCGCAAATTGTAGTTGTTTATTTTACAATATTTGTTTTTAGATTTTATTATACATAAGCAAGTTACAGCGCAACTCAACGTAGCCACGAATGCCCGTGGAAGCGGCCATTTTGTTGTTAGGTTGTTTTTTTCAAACATAATTATTGATTTGAAGGATTACTACATCGGAACCTATTCAAGAGATGTCAGCGTGGTGAGACTTGTAAGCTTCTGTGCACTACGCATATCATGCGAATCCTTGGAATGCTGGCCTTCGGCACACGCCAGACAGCTTATAACAACAAAATGGTGAACGATAGTATGTCAGTGAAAACACCCTATACTCGTTTTTACCTCGAGGAAAATATTTAAAAAAAAGTGCGGCACTTTGCGAATCTTTACGAATTTCCACGTTTATGTAGAGAATGAATTAAGATATATGTTAGTGCATTTTAGATTAAAAGCTACATTTATGAGGTTTATGCATGTGAGTTATACGGCCAGAGGAACATGATATAGGGGGCCAATCGGCACGATGAGTCGGCTAATTAATTAAAAAATTTAATCAACTTTTAATTAATGAAAATAGACGTAGGCTTCCAATTAGAAACTTGCTGAGCGTCATCGAAAACAACTACATCGGTAACTTTTAGAAAGACTTTGAGCGCAGCAGTGCGCTAAAGTTACCACTGGTGCAGCACGTACAAGGTATACCGGCGCGTTTTTTCCGTCTCTTATCATAGCCCTACAGCCTTGTGCCTGTAGCACGAGTGTTCATTTTAGCGGATTACTGCACTTCCCACGGGCTGAAAATATTGATTTGGTGGCTTTCGATGGCGCTCTGCAAGTTTCTAATTGGTACCGTATGTCTATTCTCACAAATCAAAAAAGTTAATTGACAAACTTTAGTCAATTATTGGATTAGTAACCCTATATTGTGTCCCCTTGTCCGTGTAAATATAACTCACCTTCACAAACCGCGTTAATGCAACATTTCCGGCTCTATTTTTTTTTTTTTAACAAATCTGTTAAGCTTATTACGAAGCACTCTGTATACAGTATATCTCATCTTATCAAGACGCACGCGTTTCAAACGACAAAAGCACCGCTTCTTCCTCTGACCACCACATTTTGTAAGAACTGCTTCGCGCGGCGTATGGACAATGCGCAAAACTTCATTTTTTTCTTGAGGTGAACACGAGTATAAAGCCTCTAATAAGCTAGAGCGTGGACGCTCCGTTCCCTCCATTTTCTCGTGGGCGCCGCCATCTTGGTGACAGTACAGAGCGGGCGCATGTTGGCGAGAGCTACGATTTGAAAATGCGACTTCTTGAACTTTAGGTATTGTCAGAAAGCTCGAGCGATAGCGTTTTTTCTCTCTCGCGGACTGTTTTGACATTGCTGGAGGACGGAAAACCGTTTCCTCCGATTTCAGGTACAGCTTCAGTCAACTGGCAACCATGTTTTTCAAGCACCAAGGATTGTCGCTGCTCTGAGACATAGCTTAGTGGCCGCGTGTTGCTGCTGGTCCTGCTGGCAGTGCGATGTGTCTAGCCGATTACCTCTCGACTACACTCCCGACGATTCTTGATCGAGGAGCGTTTTCTCGTTGTATCTTTTTTGTTTTGTTTCTGGCCCGTTGTGCCAAGTGGCTCGCCTTGACTGCAGTTGCAGCCTTGACCGTGCCGACGACGGCGCTGTGAGCCTATTGGATCCTCCTCGGAGCGTTTTCGATGCTTAACTTGCATCGAAGACGACTTGTTCAAACTCGCGTGAGGCGGCCGTTGCAACAACCCGGAACCGTGTGGAAGTGATGAAGTGCTCGACGTGACCTTCGCTTTATTCTTGTACACCTGTAGTTCTGGATACGCCATTGCAATGCAAAATATTAATACAATAAAAAAAAAAAAAAGATGTAGCGTTTTGTTAGAACAGTGCATCTGTAACCTCAAATACAACTTTCTGTTGCATTTCTTTTTTCTTTTTTTTTTCTTTTTTAAGTGAAAGGTGCGCGTGCGCAGATTTAAAAAGGTTACGTCTAAAACTTAGAAGAAAAGAAAAAAAGGGGGAGGGGGAGGAGGAGGGCACTCATGTTAGGGTTCTTTTAACCCTGCGGCTAAGTAGAAAAGAAGCAAATCAGTCCTCTAAAACTCTACCACCGAACGCTAAAAAACAAACTGGACCAAAAGAGGAAAAGTCCGACGTATGGGGAGCGCAAATTCGTCTGCTTCTTGCGCAGGAGTTCCGGTGACGTCAGAACGGCGCCGAGTTCTGATTGGCTGTGATTGGAAGGATAGTGGGTAGACCTCAATGCTAGATGTCTTAAAATCCACCCACTGTTTTTTTTGTTTTTTTTTCAATCAGCCAATAAGATTTTGGCATTCTAAGATCATTCCTACCCCAGTGCAAGAAGCGGACGAACTTGCGCTCCGCACACGGATTCATGTGAGGGGAAGCGTCTGCGCATGCGTCGTGCCAACAGCAGCGCCACCTTCTTTAAACGACCTCGTCACAAAAGCGAAGGACACTAGGTCCTGGGAAGGTATGCGCGCCATTGCGTTCCCTGAACATATTTAACATGCAGACGATCAAACCATCGCGATTTACTGATCGGTCTCAGTTGCCATGGCAATCTTCATTTTGGTACATTCAGGTTTTCTTTTAAGCTTCGAAAGGGTCGTTTTGAACCGGTCACACCAAGATCGCCATATGAAGCATCGTCGTATACAGAAAGCGTTCCTCGCTAATACGAGCGT